AGCAACATCTGACTGGAGTGAGCCACCTAAAATCGGGTGGGACAAGTCTCCCTCTCTGATGGGGGTTCAGTCCCGCAGGTGCTGGTATCCTGGACGAGCCCCCACAATTGTTGGAGCTGGGAATGCACCTCCTCAATTTCATCATTAAGGAACAATGCGGAGACTCAGAGATTGGTGGAGTGAAGCAGCTCTTTTAATATTGGCTTTGCAAGATGGGTGTCCCTCGGGTGAGCAGGCACACCGAGGCAGCTGCAGCCAGCATATTCATACCCTAAAATGCAAATCCCTTTCTTGGCTTCCCATTGATTGGGTACTGCAGAAGTTACACGTTTTCTCGTATGATGCCTACATGACACATGTTGATTGGTTTGACAGAATCATTTCATTTACATGTCCTGTTTGTTTATTGGCTTCCAGGATTACTATTCTGATTGGAGTCCATCAAAAGTTTAAGCATGTAGCCCGCCAAAGTAAAAAGTCCATGAAAAGGGAGCTCAAAGAAGCAGGAAGTGAGTCAGCAAAAGAGAAACACAAAGCATTTAAATATCATCTTGGGAGCCCAAGATAAGCTAGGCTTCATTTTGAAAATAAATCATCTTATTTCCCACACTTCTGATCTACAAAATGTAAGATGATATGTTTGTGTGTTTTTAGGCCACTACGTTTGTGGTGATTTGTTTAAACTACCATAGAGAACTGCCCATAAATTGGGCATAAATTATGTAATGTATGCTCATAAATTATATAAAAATGAATTGGCATTGTATTTTCAGTTCCTTTGCAATCTTATGCTAATGAACTGTCTTTGGGCAATTATTGTTTAGGTTTTCAGGTTTAGTATATATTGAACACAGCAGACCTGGCTAGCACACAATGTCTTACTCACTTTTACATCCCCAGCAACTGGTACAGTGAATGCTACAATGTAGAAGCACAATTAACAGTTTGGGGAATAAATCAATACATTTGTAATAATTAGATCTAGACCCAGGGATTGCTGCTGGTTATATATTATTAATTTATGTGTGATAAACTTGGGGTACTTGACTAGAGAAATAGAATGGTGATTCTCAAACTTTAGTGTCCACTGCAATCACCTAGCAGGCTTGGTGAAACAGATTGCTGGTAGTTTTGGAGCCAAGCCTGGAAATTTGCATTTCTAATAAGTTTCCAGGTGATGGCAATGTTGGTATTTATAGGCTTACACATTGGGCCATTTTACTCCCCCACCCCTCTCAGAGGCCAAACTAACTTCACATGTTCTCCCACAACTCACCTGCTTTTTTCTTTTTGTATGGATCCATTCTGTAGGAGTTGTACTCTCTACAAACCTGGCTAATACATTCAGTAATTTTCCTAAGATTTGTTCCTCTCCCAACCCTTAGCCTTGTTACCTCAGAAAATAAGCATTCAATTAGTTGCTTTCACTTTAAGAGTAATAGAATAGTGAAACAAAACATTTTAAAAATCTAAAAAATGAAATGGAGAAGTTTAAAAGGTGAGAAATTCTTTTAAATTATTCTGTTATTGATAAGAACCTATAGTTTTGTACTTCCTTCTGAGACGGTTGCTCTTTTGGGAGCTTAACCTGGCACTCCTATGACACCCTCACCTATCCTTGACATATGCAGATCCCATGAAAATACTTTCAACATACTTCTGTCATTGTACTTACCTTGTTGTCTTGTGATTTTTCTCTTCATCTTGTCTACTACATTGAGTTCATTTGTCTTCACCTCTTACCATAATAGTACCCACCAATTAATATGTGTTGGATAATGCTATAGAATGATGGAATGTAAATAACTAATTGGATTCCTTCGGTTTTATTTCTGAGAGACAGTGGTACTCACCAACTTTTCTAATCCTTTCTAAAACTACTGGCAAGGCAGAGTGATCAGTGCCTGTTTGTTCCAAATTGATAAATTGAAGCTCTGAAGACTTCCTGATTTGGTGACACTCATTCGATTAAGCCACCCATTGTCACCTGTAATTCATCAAATGAATACATTTGAACTTTTCTTTTTTTTTTTTTTTTTTTTTGAGTTGGAGTCTCACTCTGTCGCCCAGACTGGAGTGCAGTGGCTGCTCCCGGCCACCGCAGCCTCAACCTGCTGGGCTCCAGCGATCCTTCTGCCTCAGCCTTCCAAGTAGCCGGAATTACAGGCATGCGCTACCACGCCTGGCTGATTTTTTGATTTATTGTGGAGATGAGGTCTCGCCTGCCCAAGCGGGTCTCAAACCCACGGGCTCAGGCAATCCACTCACCTCAGCCTCCCAAAGGTGCGGGATTACAGGCTGAGCCACCGAGCCCGGCTTGAACATTTCTTGAAAGGGTTTCTTTATGTGATTCATCTCTTACTTGGCTAAGCTCTTGTCAGTCACTTGTACCATTAAACTGTTTTTTTCCTCTCTGGAAACTTCTATTTTGCCATTCTCAAATTTTATGGTACTATACTTTGATGTGGTTCTAGTTTTATTTATTGTGTTTGGCACTTGGAAATTTGGGTTTTAAAAAAATTTAATTTTTTAATGAAAAGGTCAGTAAATGCACATGGGAAAAAAAATCAATCAATATGCGAAGATATGTAATGAAAGTAAATCTGTCTCTCACACTGTGAGTCCTCTTCCCAGAGATAATAGTCTTCCCCTGTTCTCTTTGATGCTTATTAAAAGGAGCTCTTTGGAAATTGTTGAGAATATCCTGTGTTAATATATAATCAAGGTAGTACGTATATTTACATACATACATACATACATACATACATACATACATACATACATATGGGGATGCCCAAAAAATACATACACATTTGGGGCTATCATACTTAAAATGTGTATATACATTTTTTGGCACCTCTGTATGTATTTTTAAAATAATGCTGGGTTTTGTTGGTGGTTTAATATTGTCTTTCTCCTTACATAATTTTGGTACTGTATTACATATTCTTTAAGGTAACATAACCAAACTAGGAGACTTTTAAATACCAAAGCATCCAGTTCATATTAATATTTCTTTTGATGTCTTTTTTTTGTTTTTCTTTTTCTTTTTTCTTTTTGAGTTAAAGTCTCACTGTCATCTAGGCTGGAGTGCAGTGCATGATCACGACTCACCGCAGCCTCAACTTCCTGGGCTCAGGTGATTCTTCCACCTCAGCCTCCCAAATAGCTGGTACTACAGGCATGCACCACTATACCTAACGTTTTTTGATTTTTTGTAGAGACAGGATCTCACTGTGTTGCCTATGCTGGTCTGGAACTTCTGGGCTCATGCAGTCCACCTGCCTCAGCCTCCCAAAGTGCTGGGATTACAAGCGTGAATCACCATGCCCAGCCTGATATCTTTTATTTCTTTTTTATTTTTTTGTAAGTTGGTGTCTCACTCTGTCACCCAGGCTGGAGTGCAGTGGCGTACTCACTCCTACCCCAGTGTCGACCTGCTGGGCTCCGGCGATCCTTCCACTTCAGCCTTTCAAGTAGCAGGAACTACAGGCGCACACTAGGCCCGACTAATTTTTAATTAATTGTAGAGACAAAGTCTTGCCAAGTTGCATGGGCTGGTCTCAAACCTGTGGGCTCAGTCAATCCACTTGGCTCGGCCTCCCAAAGTGCTAGGATTTCAGGCTGAGCCACCAAGCCCAACCATATCTTTTATTCCTATTTGTTATTCATTTATTCTTTCCTACTTCTATGAATAATGTGTTCATATGATATTTGCATGAGAAATAATAGTTTAATTGTCATTGGTTCATGAATAACTTTACTCAGTGTAAGAGAAATGTACTTAGTATTATTCAACAAATGTTTATTGAATGCCTCCTGGGCTGGAGTAAGATCAGAGATACTACTAATTTTTTTTATTTCTTTTAGCATGCCTTCTTCTCTTATGAATTCTGGGACTGTCCCATCTTTTTCACATTGTTGGAAATTAATAGTGAAGTTAAAATAAAATAAATTTTTAAAAATATTGTTCACATCTTTTTTGCAAAAAAAAAAATCACTAAGCCATGTTTTTTTAAATGTGTATGTTTTGGTTTTGTTTATATCATACTCTAGCAGTGTTACACAATCTCTGGAGATTAGTAAGGTGGTTGACAGTCTGTGGATGTGTGAGCATGCATGCATGTTAGAAACATATCTGTTGAAAATAAAGTCTTGGCCGAGCTCAGTGGCTCAGCCTGTCATCCCAGCACTTTGGAAGGCTGAGGCAAGTGGATTGCCTGAGTCCACGGTCTTGAGACCAGCCCGGTAAACTTGAGGAGATCTTGTCTCTACAATAAATCAAAAATTAGCCGGGCGTGGAAGTGTGCGACTGTAGTTCTGGCTACTTGGAAGGCTGAGGTGGAAGGATCACTAGATCCCAGCAGGTCTACGCTGGGGTGGCTATGAGTGTCCCATTGCACTCCAGCCTGGGCAACAGAGTGAGACTCCAACTCAAAAAAAAAAGAAAAGAAAGTCTTGCATTTCCTAAAAAAAAAAAAAAAAAAAAATTAACAGATATAATGTATCAAAAGCTTACTTGATTATGCAAGTTGACAGATTTTAAGTGATTGAGGATAATCAGCTTCATTAAATAAGTTCATTCAATAAACTGAAAAAAGAAAGGCATATGCTTATTCAATAGACATTTCAGGAAAATATTTTTCTTAAGAAATTTCTTTTAATGGACCATATTATTCTGCTTGAGATGAAGGATTGCATGTCATTTTTTCTACTTAGACATCATAGTTATTCTGTGAAGGGCCTTTGTTACTTCCAAATTTCCTTTCAGTAGTATTTTTAAAAGCTTTGAAGCCATATCATAGCAACCTAATCTATTTTCTATGAATTAAATACTAAATTCTAGACTGAGATTTGAGTTATTGTAAAGAAAGCATGTATGACTACACATTCTCGCTAATAATATTTAGAAATGTATGCTAGTTTTACATATTATCAAGAATTTAAAAAATGACTTTTGGAGTATATATATTGATTTTATATAACTTTTCTTTTGTCAGATGAGAGACCTAGCCATAGTGACTCTGTTACTGAGACTGCCATGACACTACCAAGTGAATCTAGAGTCAATGTACAGGCCATCATCACATTAAAAACATTAGACTACAGGTATGTCATATATTTTGTTCACACATTTCCAAAAACATAGTAAACTTTTCGGGAAAAAATCCTTCAGAGACTGGACTCAATGACTCAGCCTGAAATCCCATCAGTTTGGGAGGCCGAGGCGAGTGGATTACCTGAGCCTGTGGGTTCGAGACCAGCCCAGGCAGCTTGGTTAGACCTCGTCTCTACAATAAATTTAAAAAATGGGCTGGGTATGGTAGCACGCGCCTGTGATTCCAGCTACTTGGAAGACTGAGGCGAAAGATCGCCAGAGCAGGTCGACACTGGGGTGACCATGAGCGTGCCACTGCCCCCCAGGCTGGGCAACGGAGTGAGACTGTGACTCAAAAAAAAAATAATCCTTCAGAAGAAAACAATTGGTGAGGAAGAATTCATTAGAGTACTTAACTTAGAATAATAGCAATTGCAAAAAACCATAAGGAAATAAAAGCAGCCGGGCTCGGTAGCTCAGCCTGTAACCCTGCACTTTGGAAGGCTGAGGTGAGTGGATTGCCTGAGCCTGCGGGTTCGAGACCAACCTGGGCAACTTGGCGAGACCTCATCTCTACAATAAATCAAAAAATCAGCCGGGCATGGTAGTGCGTGCCTGTAATTCCGGCTACTAGGAAGGCTGAGGTGGAAGGATCGCCGGAGCCCAGCAGGTCAAGGCTGCGGTGGCTGGGAGCGGCCACTGCACTCCAGTCTGGGCGACAGAGTGAGACTCCCACTCAGAAAAAAAAAAAAAAGGAAATAAAAGCGTATTAAAAGTATGATGAACTTGAAACCCCATTTCTTTGTGATTTGTGTTTATTACACTTAAGAGATGGTTCCATTAATAGTAATATTTGTATAATGAGGATATTTTAGTATTATAAAAAATAAAAGAGTGACAGTATTGATAATAAAGTTCTCTGACTCAGTAACCAGGCATCCAGAGAGACTTATATGGGAGAGAGTCTATGGTAGTACATGACAAACCAGCATCATTTAGTTAATGAAAACCTTGACTAGCAGGCAAAGCTTGAGAGGTTATATCCTGCTAACTTATCTGAGCTTAAGTCAGTTATTAATACTATAGTAATAATGTGTTCTGGTAGCATTTGTATTAAAATAGAAAATTATAGTGTTAGTATATAAATTGAGACAAAGTCTAAAAATTTTTTTATATATCATGGGAGTGTATTAAATTGTGCAAAGAAAATACCTATGGGAAGATTTAAGGTAGTTGTTGAGTCCTTTCAGTACTGTCTAAGGCAACAGTAATAAAAGTTAGCAATACTGTCAAAACTTTTGCAATGATTGGTTCATATATGGGTATTATAGAGAAAATACAAAGAATGTAGACTCAAGTCATATAGTTGACTAGATTTATTCAAGAATCTACATGGCTAGCACCAGTGTCTGGTCTCTTACCCTAATGTATCAGTAGGAACAACCTTCTCAGAAGTCAGGATATGGTCTCTATCTCACATTTATTGTGTTTCATTCACATTGTTCTTACCTCTTAACTGCCAGTCTTTTTTATTTTTAATTAATTGTTTTGTTTTGTTTTTCTTTTTTAGAAGAAACAGGGTCTCACTCTGTTGTACAGGCTGGAGTGTAGTGGCACTATCATAGATCAATGCAGCTTCAAACTCCTGGGCTCAAGCAATCCTCCCACCTCAGTCTCCTGAATAGCTGGGACTATAGGTGCGCTACCATGCCCAGGTGGTTTTTTTCTTTTTAAAAATTGTTTGTAGGTATGGGATCCTGCTATGTTGCCTAGGCTGATTTCAAACTCCTGGGCTCAAGCAGTTCTTTCTCCTCGGCCTACCAGAGTGCTGTGATTACAGGCATGAGCCACCACGCCTGGGCCCCTGCTACTCCTTGATGTATGTAGAACTCACTATTCTCAGCCAAGCTCCGTTTGCCACACAAACACAGGTAACACTCTTTTGTACTTACATTTGTCTCCTTCTCACAAAGCATGGCAGCTTAATGTATCTTTTCTTCCACGTAATATACCCATTTATTCAGTAGATATTTTTGGAATCTACTATGTAAAAAATTATTTCATAAATATACTAATTGGTGAGAGAGACTTTATTCCTGTCTTATATTTTCTTAGCTTAAAATGTATTTTATGCCTAACTTCCCTCCATCCTGTACAGATACCATATACTAAGTCCTTGTCATATGCTGGGCACTCTACAGGTACATAGGCTGTTGATTTTAATTATGCAGACAGTCTATAAAGTAGTGTTGATCCAGTTTTATCTGGGTTAACCATTCCCACTTTTTAAAGGCACAGATATCACCAAAGCATAATAAAGATGCATCTTAGGTTGCCTTGATTCTAAATTTATTGTAGTTTGTTTTTCTCAGAGACTTTAAGTGGAAAGGGGTATTCTATTTAAAAATATAAATTTGCAATATCAAGGCATAAATGTTTTCAACTAAACGTTTAAAATAGTATGAATCTTTCAAGTTTGATTAGTATAAGTCAGTTCCCTATGACTTGAGCATTTCTGAGTGAAGAGATGAAAATGCTGCATCTGCACAAAAGAAAGTGGAACCCTAAAGCAGTAGAAGGCAATTTAGGCAATCTTTTTACATATCTGTATTATGATGTCTTTCTTACACAATTCTCCCATATTATACATCATATATAATACTGTTTTCTTGTTTCTCCAGCATCTATTTGGCATTCCACTGAAGTTTCTTTTATGTGAATGACATTGTAGTAGGCATTAACAGTCTAAAAAAGGAATGTAAAGATAGTTAATATAGATAATTATAACAGCTACAAATTGTTAAATCTGAAAATGTCAGAGTTCTGTACAGTAGTCCCTGGTTTCCTAGTTTCGTTTTCTGCAGTTTCAGTTACTTGTGGTTAACTACAGTGTGAAAATATTAAGTTGAAAGTTTCAGAAGTAAACAACTGGTAAGTTTTGAGTTGCAGGCATTCTGAGCAGCATGATGAAATCATGCTCTGTCCTGCCCAGGACAGATCCAAATCATCCCTTTGTCAAGCCTATCCATGCTGTATATGCTCCTTGCCCTTTGTTACTTAGTAACTGTTTCAGGTATCAGCTGGAGGTCTTGAAAGGTTAACTTTCTGGATAAGGGGGAACTACTGTATTTTCACTTAAGATTAAATGGATATTTCACTGAAATTTTTAATTAAAAGGATATTTATTTACATTTGAAAAGATATGACATAAGTACATAACAATATATATAAAACAAAGAAATAATAAGAAATAGGCTGGGTGCATTGACTCAGTCTGTAATCCCAGCACTTTAGGAGGCCGAGGCGAGAGGATTGCCTGAACCCGGGGGTTCGAGACCAGCCTGGGCAACTTGGTGAGACCTCATCTCTATAATAAATCAAAAAATAAGCCAGGTGTGGTAGCATGCACCTGTAGTTCTAGCTACTTGGAAAACTGAGGCAGAAGGATCGCCTGAACCCAGTGGGTCAAGCCTGTAGTGGCTGTGAGCATCACACTGCACTCTAGCCGGGAGACAGAGTGAGACTCCAACTCCAAAAAAGAAATAAAGAATAAGGAATAGCTCTTCCAATTCTAATTTTGTGGAACTGAGATTGAGGAAAGGTAAATTTATAAAGTTCATTAGTGGTAGAACTAGGAATAGTTTAGTCCCAGTCTGCTGTTCTACTTTGTCACATACTGAAGGAGAGAGAATTGGTCGGGGTTACAAAACAAAAATTATCTTAGTATGATATTGAACTTTTTTAAATGATTGTTATCTTACAATAAACTGCATACCCAAAGAAAGTTGACAGAGGCCGGGCTCGCGCCTTGGGAGGCTGAGGTGAGTGGATTGCCTGAGCCTGCAGATTCGAGACCCGCCTGGGCAACTTGGTGAGACCTCATCTCTACAATAAATCAAAAACTAGCTGGGCGTGGTATCACGTGCCTGTAGTTCCAGCTACTTGGAAGGCTGAGGCAGAAGGATCGCCGGAGCCCAGCAGGTCGAGGCTGCAGTGGCCAGGAGTGGCCACTGCACTCCAGTCTGGGCGACAGAGTGAGACTCCAACTCAAAAAAAAAAAGAAAGAAAGTTGACCGATACAAATGCCAAGGTGTTTAAGAAAGGGACAGCTACTTTTTTTTTTTCTTGAGTTGGAGTCTCACTTTTGTCACCCAGGCTGGAGTGCAGTGGCACGCTCACAGCTACTGCAGCCTAAACCTGCTGGGCTTAGGCAATCCTTTCGCCTCAGCCTTCCAAGTAGCTGGAACTACAGACCCATGCCACCACGCTCAGCTAGTTTTTAGTGATTTATTGTAGAGACGAGGTCTCACCAAGTTGCCCAGGCAGGTTTTGAACCTCCAGGTTCCTCTCGTTTTGGCCTACCAAAGTGCTGGGATTACAGGCTGAGCCACCGTGCCCAGCCCAGGATGACTACTTTTTTAAATTACAGATTTAATTCTGTTCAAAGGTAGAGGAATAGGCTATTTAACTATGACTTATGGATGTCTTAGACTCTGAAGATATACTTGTGCTTGTATTCTCATTGAGTATATGAATGCCCAGAAAATATAGAACAATGTGTTATAACACAGTATGTTGTCTGAATTTTTAGCAGTGAACATTTTGTGGTTGGTAAATTTTTGTGGCTTTTTTTTTTTTTTTTTTTTTACAAAAAGCACAGTCAGCTGCTAATAATGGCTCATTTCTTAATGTAGTTATCATTTTTCCTATAGTGACAAGCAGACAACTTTGATTTCTGATGACGTGTTTGATGCAGTAAAAAGCAATATCATCACTTCTATTAACTTCAGTAAGAATCAGCTGCATGAAATTCCAAAAAGGTAAGAACTGTTTATGAGGCCATTTCTATTAGGTTGTGACTCATTCTCTGTTGTATTCCCATCTTTTAATTTATAATTTGACTATATACCATAAGGTTGATTATGATGATAATTAAAGCATATTATTTCTTTAGGCTAGATTTCCAGAAAAATTACTAAGTCAGCATATGACTCAGTAGATCTAAAAACTTTTGAAAAAATGTTATCAGTTACTCATCAAAACTGATTTTCTTTCACTCCTCTTTTTCAGCACAGCATTTTCTTTTTCTTTTTCTTTTTTTTTTACTAATGTGATAGACAAATACAGTTTACTTCTCATTTCTTGAAATGAAAAAAATTTTTTTTGAGTCGGGGTCTCCGATATTGTTTAACTCTTATTTCTTGAAATAAAAAAAAAAAATCTTTTATTTTTTTTTTTGAGTTGAAGTCACCCAGACTGGAGTGCACTGGCAGGATCACAGCTTACTGCGGTCTTGACCTCCTGGGTTCAAGAAATCCTTCCGTTTCAGCCTCCTGAGTTCCTGGGATTACTTTATTTATTTAAAAATTATTGTTTATGAATAAATACTTATAAATAAACCAGTCAAGATACAAATTATAATTCCAAATGGAGTCTAGCTCAAAATAAAATATGTAGTCCTAGCTACTTGAGAGGTACTTCCCACTACAGTTGGCTAATTTTTTTTTTTTTTTTTTTTTCCTTTGGTAGAGTCAGGGGCTAGCTATATTGCTCAAACTGGTCTTGAACTCCTGAGCTCAAGCAGTCCTTCTGCCTCAGGCTTCCAAAGTGTTAGGATTACAGACATGAACCATCATGCCCAGCTGAAAAATCATATTCATAACATGATTTAAACTATAGAGCTTGATTAGGCTTACTTAGAAATGTTTATGTCTTCCTCTTTAAGTGTTTAATTTAAGCTGCTTAGTGGTGACATTGTGCAGTAGAAATGTAATAGGATGTATGACTAATAATTTATTTTATGAGTTCAAGTCATTAACAGAAAAAAGTATAAACACTTCCTAGATTTGATTTTTCTCCTGCTGTAAATCGTTTCAATATAAGATAAATGAGTTTTTAATTAAACCTCACCATACAGTTAAAGTCAGATAGAAACTTTAGGACAGATTATAGTGAGGCTGTTTTTTAAAAATTGATGTTTATTAGTTACACATCAAACTCATTTAAACTTTTGTGAAAAAGTAAAAGTTACAAAAAAACATATTTAGAAATAACATAGAACTCTTCCTCTTATGATTTGTTTGTAGTTTTGAAGATTTGACAGTGAATTTAGGTGCTAATATTTTAAAATTATTTTTGTTTCAGGATTGTAGAACTGAAAGAAATGGTTTCTGATGTAAATCTCAGTTTTAATAAGCTTTCCTTTATATCCTTGGAGTTATGCATGCTTCAAAAATTGACTGTCTTAGATCTCAGGTATTTATTGCTTGACTTTTATAACTTGTCTTTGAATTTTTTTTTTCTTTTACCTCATATTTTCCTAGGTTAGTATAAAAACTGACCTTTAGTTTATTAACAATATTTTAGGAGAATCCTAAAATAGTATTTAGAAAATCTGAAAAAGTATTTAGGAAATATTGCAATTAGACATTTATCATTTGTAAGCAATTTACAAGTTAAGTGATTAGACATAATTATTTTAAAATATTAACAGTTTTTTTTTTTTTTTTTTGAGTTGAAGTCTCACTCCATCACCCAGGCTGGAGTGCAGTAGGATGCTTGCGGTCACCCCAGCGTCAACCTTCTGTGATCCTTCTACCTCAGTCTTCCAAGTAGCCAGAGCTACAGGCACGGGCTACCACACCTGGCTAATTTATTTATTGTAGAGATAAGGTCTTGCCACATTGCCCAAGCCACTCTCGAACTCATAGAGTCAGGCATTCCGCTCACCTCAGCCTCCCAAAATGCTGGGATTACAGGCTTGAGTCATTGCCCCTGGTCAATATTAACCCCTTTTTTTTTTTTTTTTTTTTTTGAGTTGGAGTCTTACTCTGTCACCCAGGCTGGAGTGCAGTGGCACGCTCACTGCCACTGCAGCCTCTACCGCTTCAGCCTTCCAAGTAGCTAGAACTAAGCCCGCCCTACCACTTCCAACTAATTTTTTGATTTATTGTAGAAAAAAGATCTCACCAAGTTGCCCAGCCTGGTCTGGGACCCTCAAGCTCAGGCAATCATCTCACCTCTGGTCTCCCAAAGTGCTGGGATTACAGGCTGAGCCACTGCGCCCAGCCTATATTAACCCTTTTTAAGCAAAATTAGAAATGACACATTGCAAGTATTTTCTTCATATTTTTTATTTTCTGATAGTAAATAACATAAAACCGGTACAGCCCTGTGGTGGCATGATAGCTTGCATGGCTTTTTGCTAAAAAACTTACTTGATTTCAAAATGTTACGTTAAGCATACAAGACCAGAAATAAAGAAAAATAATGCTGTGAGTGACAACAAAAAGAAAGGAAACTGTGTTTAAGGTGCTGCAGAGATAACAGGAAATTTAATTTCATTATGTCCATGTTGAAGTGACAATATCACAAGTGTCACAGTTCTTTAAGGCTAATAATGTATTTGCTTGGATTATAAATTTTTATTTGCAAACTGCATCTCTATTGCTCTGGCTTCTTCATGTGTTTACATTGTTACTAGGTATGTTTTTGAATTATTTAGAGTATAGCCTCTCTTGCTTTGCTCAAACTATAGTCAAATAATCAATTAAGTTATAACCTGTGACAGTTTGTTCTTCCTGTAGAGACTGGGATTAAAGCAAATCTAATAATAGGCTGCTCCTATTAGATGTGGAATTAATTCTATTTTGGGGTAGAAATTACACTAACAAAACTGTAAAACCACATTTTAGTTCAGTGTTAATGCAGCAGAGGGAATGAATTCATTTCTTAATTTCTTTTTGTTTCAGTCTTCTGTATGTAGCTACAGGGGGCCTAAAGGATGCACACACATTTTAAGTGTGATGTTTGCTCAAAAGATGGCATTAATCAAATGAATGCTAGCATGCAACAGTCAAACTGGTGGAAGCATGGTTGAGTGAACATCATAGTACACATTGCTACTGTAATTCAATTCAACTTTGAAAAGTAATGCATAAGTAACATCTCTTAGAATGTGAATACATTTTTCTGGTACCTCTTGTATATATAGGCCTCTGTCTGTAACCATACCTGGAAGCTTCTAATTAGGTGACCAAAATATGCTCTTCTATTTGATATTAGTAAGTAGAAGACTCTCTTGGAAAAGAATAGAAACCAGCAGTGGTTCTTCAACACAATTTAATATAGATAATAGCTGGAGAAAAGCACAAGAAAAAAAAGAATATAGGCCACACTGCAGAAAGTATGACTCTTAACTATTAGGATTGACTTCTGCACCCAAAGAAATATGTTAGAGAAAATTATTTATTTGTAATAAGTAACCATCTAGTGGTGGGAATAATTTTCTCACATATATTTTCTATTAGTAGTAGTTATACTTCCTACATTGCTTCCAGACCCTTTTTGAATAAGATTAAGTTTACTGCCATGTTTCATTGTAAGAGCTAAAAAAATAGCCATTGTGTAAATTGAAATTCTAAACTTAAGAGTAGGAATGGACTTGCTTAATACCTACGGACCAGAAATCTCCAAGTTTCTAAATAAAATCTTTTTTTACTTCTTGTTTCATTTTTTTCTATAATTTTTAAATTCTTCTTGGAATTTCATGTCTGTATGCAAGATATATGTATTATCACCACCAATAGAACATTTATTTCATGTGGTGTTACAGATATGGGGGAAGAATTACTAAACCCAATTTGAAGGAGTTGAGGAATTAGTATATAGTGTTTACCCTGTAAACACTATTAAACCTATTTTTTTTTTTTAGATTGGAAAATATAGTTTACTTAGAAAGTAAATTCGAGTGATAAATAGAGATTTACCTCCCCAGGGTGAGGAAGGGGGCCAAAGTTAAGAAACATGGCAGCAAGCCGGGCTCGGTGGCTCAGCCTGTAATCCCGTACCTTTGGGAGTCTGAGGTGAGTGGATTGCCTGAGCCCACGGGTTCGTGATCCACCTGGGCAACTTGGCGAGACCTCATCTCTACAATAAATCGAAAATTAGCTGGGCATGGTAGCACACGCCTGTAGTTCCAGCTACTTGGAAGGCTGAGGCGGAAGGATTGCCGGAGCCCAGCCTGTTGAGGCTGAGGTAGCTGGGAGTGGCTACTGCACTCCAGTCTGGGCGACAGAGTGAGACTCCATTTCAAAAAAAGAAACATGACAGCAGTAGTTTAGAGAGCCACATGGACACACCAGAGTTTAGCAAAGCAATGGTCACTACTAAACCTATTATTACAGAGTTAGTTGTGACTGGACATGGTGGCTCACACCTATAATCCCAGCACTTTGGGAGGCTGAGGTGGGAGGATTGCTTGAGCCCAGGAGTTTAAGACTAGCCTGTGCAACATAACGAGACCTCATCTCTACCCAAAAAAATATATATTAATTTAAAAGTTAGCTGGGCGTGGTGGCACAGGCCTGTAGTCCCAGCTGCTCGAGAGGCTGAGGTGACTCACCTGAGCCCATGAGGTCAATGCTATGGTGAGCTGTGAGCGTACCACTGCACTCCAGCCTGGGGAACAGAGTGAGAGCCCAACTAAAAAAAAGAATTAGTTGTATTGTCAATTGGTTTCATGTTATCTTATTTTTCTTCTAAGACATGTTGTTATAACAGCATCTTGGTATTAATGGATTTGGCACACTAACCAAATATTTGAGGCAACCAACTAGTTCAGAATTCTCAGAACTCAGCCTTTTTGAGATCAGTTCAGATTGACAAACTGATCTACATATTGTTTTTCTTGCTCAACATTTTCATTATAAATTCAAGTTGTAAAAGTTTTCAAATTTTGTAAATCATTTGTTTTGATTTTTAATTTAGGAACAATTTTTTGAATTTTTTACCTGAAGAAATGGAATCGTTGATAAGACTGCAAATAATCAATCTTTCGTTTAATAGGTAAGAGACAGACAAGCAGTTCTAATTGTTATTCTGTGAAAAATATGTAGTTCTTTCTTCCTAGAGAAAACAACTAAAGGAGCCAAATAAACAGGCCTTTTACTTCTATTTTATTTCAATATCAAGATTTTATTTTCACTTAGCTCTACATAGAATTGAAAGTGGTGTTGCTTTCTTAGAATTTTTACAATTGATAATAGCCATTTTGTTTCTTTTTACCATTTTGAGAAACCTGTAGCTACTAGACAAATATGCAAATAAATTTGGTCAGTGAGCCAAAAAGGGGAAGGATGCAAACAGTTGCACAAAGAGTAGGTCACAAAAAGTTTGTTTAGGAAGTAGATCAGAGAAAAAGGGTGGATCTACATCTCTGAGATTGGAGAGAGGGCCAGACACTTAAGGAACATTGGCAGCAAATGCTTGAGGTTGAGAAGCTTTTCAAGTTTTTCTTTTAGTGGGGGCAGGTAAGCACAGGAGCTGTCACTGTGGTGATGGTCTGTGTCACATCTGTCACATAGGTCATGAAGGACTGATTACAATATATTAGGTCAGCTTGGCCCTTTATGGCAGGAAGATGAATACTTTGGAAAAAAGGTTAATTAGTGCCAAGCATGCTTGGGGGTGTTACAAAATTATCAGTAACTACCTCCAGGAAATCTGTTTTGTTTCTTTTTAATGATTATAAGGTGGGTTGAAGTAAGTTGCTGAAAAAGCAAGACAAAGCTAAGCAATGTTAAAAATAAATATATACAAAAGCTAACATTTTATGTAATCCAGAAAATGTCCTAAGGTCTTCAATATTCATTAATCTTATGACAATTATATACCAAGTGTATACATTTAGTACTATTATTTCTGTTTACAGATGAGGAAGCTAATGCATAGTGATATTAAAATACTGCTTATTTTAATTTTTGTTTTATCTACCCCATTAGTTGTGCTTTCTAGTGTAAAGGTTATACCATTATGGTCATTATTTTAAAATTTGTGTGCACTTCTCGATCTCTCCTAATTTTTACTTGTGAATTGAGCTGTCAGTTTTCTTGTTTTTCTCAGTTTTGTTTTTTGTTTTTTTGAGTTGGACTCTTACTCTGTTGCCCAGGCTGGAATGCAGTGGCATGCTCACAGCTACAGCTGCCTCTGCCACTGGGCTCAGGCGATCCTTTCGCTTCAGCCTTTGAAGTCGCTGGAACCACAGCTACCACCACGCCTGGCTAATTTTTTGATTTTGATTTATTGTAGAGACGAGGTCTCACCAAGTTTTTCAGGCTGGTCTCGGAATCCCTGGACCCAGGCAATCCTCTCACCTCTGCCTCCCAAAGTGCTGGGATTACAGGTGTGAGCCACTGCACTGGCCTGAGCTATCAGTTTTCTACTGAGTTGTCAATTGAGCTGTCATTTGCATAGTAAACAATGTCTTTGGGGAGGTGGCAAAAGCTAGTGCAAACGCCTGTGTTAACAGATGATTTACATCTTTTATAATTACCTTGTGGAAAGGGAAGAAAAGAAGAGCCCACTACTTAGGGACCATTTGGTCCACCTGTACTCCTAGTCATTGGCTCTCCATGTTCACTGGAACTTGCAAGGTGTTATGCTTATCCTCCACTGTTGCTTTGTTTTAAACATCAAGGCAGTAAAGGAAGGGCAGGATGGGGGAAGTGAAATGGCCAAAGTTCTCCCTCAGCCCATTTTTGTCTTTTCTAGTCCAGGCTGCAGTTTACCTTGCACTAAAATTGTGCCAGCCGATGTTCCCTAGGTGTGTGCAAAAATTTTGTGTTACTTGCAAGTACTGGTCTGAGAGCCATCAGCCTTCCCAGCTCTCTTGGGCATCTTCAAGATTGCTTTGGGCAAGAAAGCCAAGAGTCTGCTAGTTTGTCAGGTTAAGAAACTGAGTGTACTCATTTTGGAAGCCTCAGTAAAAGCAAAATATATCTCAGTGTTATAGCAGCGATTATGTTTTATAAGAAGTAAAAGTGAACTATGGAAGAACACCTATGTGGAGATATGATATGGAGAATTTCTGTTCCTGAATGTGAGCAGACAAATATAAGAGAATTTACTCTGAATTTCTGTTTAATTACAAGTCTATCCACTGAATATGTATTTCAAGGTTTCCAAAATTAGCCCATATTCTTTGTTTTTTTTTGAAAAATTCAAATGCAGTAACATATGCTAAAGAAAAAATTATGATATTAAACTTAAGATTATCTGTTTTAAGGAATGATTTGACCTCTGATTTCAGTATATTTAGGTGTTCTGTTCATGTATTAATAGGTTCAAAATACTACCTGAAGTTCTGTATCGTATCCTCACACTTGAAACAATTCTGATTAGTAACAATCAGGTTGGATCTGTGGACCCTCAGAAAATGAAGATGATGGAAAAGCTGACCACACTGGACCTTCAGAATAATGACCTCTTACACATTCCACCAGAGCTTGGTAATTGTGTGAACTTAAGGTAGCTACATCATTCTCCTGAGTTTTTCTCATTTATGTGATTGGTTTGTGGAAGTGATTTATTTTTCTTGTTGAGATAAACTTGCAGGAAGTTAAAGTAACAAATTTAATGTCCTGTTAAAAAGAACAAGTAACAAAACACAGAGTACCAATTCTGTTTTTCAAATTTTACTAAATACACTGCTTTTCACTTTGTTTATGTGGTATAATATATGATAAATGTGGTAACTGTTTCTAGTGGTACTTTTATTATCACTGTGTTATGTTTGTAACCTGAAACTTCACTGCATAAAAATGTCAGGGAACTATGAACTCTTTAGCTTTGCATATAGTGTTTTTTGAAATCTTGTTACAGACTACCACCATTCCATTTCAAGCCCAGCATGGTCTTTCTGTCTCTTTACATTTGCTGTTCCCTCAGCATCAGATGCCTTTATTCTGTTTTTTCCAATAATCAGTCGACATATTACCTTTGAAAATCTTCCCCATTCTCCAAGCAGAATTAGTCCCTACTCTGATTTCCCATCATGCTTTGTTTGGATTCATTTACACCATTTTTTTGTCCTTCATTAGAAAAGAGTTGTTCCATTGCCTAGAACATAGTAAGCACCCAATAAGTGCCTGTGAATGTAAAGGGAGTCGGAGATGTCAACAGAAAGCCTAGTAGTTAAGCAGAATGTGTCAAAAGTAATTTAATTATTGAAAACTGCATATTAATGGTGTGGCATATTTTACTTCACTGGGGCAGCACTGGTATCTGGTACCAGTGGTATTAACTGGTATTAACTACTTCATATTAGTAAATTATAGGAGACAAGTATAGTTGATTCTTATTATTTGCAGTAGTTATATTTTTATAAAGTCACTGTGAAGGCTGCATTAGTGAATATTGACTGTTGATCCTGGGGGAAGTACAGGGTTAGGTTCCTGCAAAAGTCTAATCACAATATTTTCATCAACTGATCAATACATTACCTATTTTTATGTGTTTCTCTGTCTAAACTTTATTTAATGTTATTATTGATTCATTAACATTGAAATCATGGCCAGTGGTACTATGAACTTTGTTCATGCCTGAACAAAGTTTACCTGATACATGTATTTTTTTCCATAGGCATTTTTGTGCTTAGGAAAACTAGTCAGTACTTCAGTACTATTCTTGCAGATCATTTTAAACAGTGGAATCGCCACAAAAAGATATGAAAAGTGTGGCCCTAAGTGGAACACAAAAAGAACACTTGATTATAGTATGAGAGCTGAAACAGAGGCAAAACATTATCTGGTTTGACCTCAGCTGAATATGCACCTTGGGGTGACCTAAATGTTTTGCTCTATGCATGTCCTTGAATAACCTGAATGTTTTGCTCTATGCATGTCCTTGAATGACCTTGGAAGTGCCACACATATGGACTTGGGGGTTACAAATTTTAGTGAGCAAGCAAATTCACAAATATGGAATTCGCATATAATAAGGATTGACTGTAATCAACTCCCTTTTCTAGAAATTAAGAAAATAAGTCTTTAAAAGAGTTCCCAAGAAACAGATATTTGAAGATATAGTTTAGATCATTTGTATAATATGGTGAGTTTGACTTTTGTTTACATAAACATTTACGCTATTAACAATTAATATAAAAATCTCTTCTAATTGAAGATATTTTATTAGCTACATAAAGAAACAGAACAATAAGCCCTTAAGTCTTAAACTGAACCTTATTTCAGAACATGTGAATACATTTATATGTATGTGTATCTCATCAAGGGAAGGAGAGGGCAAACATGTGATAATGTTTTTGGAATGGGTAGGACGGTGTTGATGATACATTGATTACATTATAGTGCTTGACTTGGATAACTCATTATCTTACTTCGATTAGCTTACTCATTATAATACTTATATAAATCTTATTTGATAATTTGGTATATAATCACTATAAGACTCAAAAAGACTGGATAGACGCGAGTATTTCAAATCATAACTCTACTGTTTATTAACTGATTTTAGACAAGTCCTTCTTACCTCCATAAACTTGTGTTTCTTCGCTTAAAAAATAGAAATATTAATGGTACCTACATCATAGGACTGCTAGGAGAATAGGAACGTTGAGAATTTGTGAATGTTGCTGAGCACAGTGGCTCGAGCCTGTAAACCCAGCACTTTGGGAGGCCGAGGTGAGAGGATTGCCTGAGCTCAAGGGTTCGAGACCAGCCTGGGCAACTTGGCAAGACCTCATCTTACAATAAAATCAAAAAATTAGCTGGGCATGGTAGCATGCACCCGTAGTTCCAGCTACTTGGAAGCCTGAGGTAGAGGGATCACCTGAGTTCAGCAGGTCAAGGCTGCGGTGGTCGTGAGTGTACCACTGCACTTCAACCTGGGCGATAAAGTGGAACTCTGACTCAAAAAAAAGAATTACTGTTCTTTGGGTTATTATTTAGTTATAATTCTAACTTTAAATGCTCAGATGTAAAAGGGGAAAATAGAAAAAATATATAAATTTTTTTATAAAGTTGCAAATGAAATTCTAAGATAAACCTTGCTAATGAAAAGTTTTCAATTTTTCTTTTTTGTTTAGAACATTACTACTAGATGGAAATCCATTCCGTGTTCCTCGAGCAACCATATTAATGAAAGGAACAGCAGCTATACTGGAATATTTGAGAGACCGAATTCCTACTTAAATTGGAGTTGTTTTATAATCCTGGTTATGTTAAACTTAGAGGGATATACCTTTCTTTTAGTAAATCTTAAAAGATGATTGCTATAATTGATCTTCCTAATGTCACCTAACTTTTGGTATAACGGGCCTGGGCCATATTCACTGCTACTAAATATTTTTACATTGACAACTATTTAGCATTTTTCTAAAGGTGGTATTTACATTCATAATGGTGATAACCATGTATTGTGTTCATACATTTGTTCTGAATGTTTTGCATGGGATTTATTCTATTCTGTTTCATTTTCTTATAATACAGCAAGCTGTTTCTTACAAAGTAAATTTTTATTTAACATGGTTTAGTATTTTTGTAACACAGCATTTTTGTAGAAGCCAGTTTTTTTCTCATTTCTTTTTGTATTCTGTATGATGTGACCAGTTGAATGTGACTATCCAATTTCTATCTTATCATTAGGTATAAAATTGAATTGAATTTTATTGAATAGTTCTCTGGCACTAAAAACAATAAGATTTTCATTACCCATAATAGGATTTTTGTGATGTGGTTGGTCTCAGTACAAATTTTAACTTGACATTGACTATCTTGTTTTTGTGTTAATCTAGCCGAAATGTTTTTTTTTCCAGCTATTGGGTAGGTCTTTTCCCCCTATTTTATGGAATCATTTTTTCAACATTACTAATGTCATAGAAATGCTACCTAAGATATAGGTTATTTAAAAATAGTGAAACATTGTCATAACTGCTGTCACAATTTAGAATTTAAAATGACAGTTGTAAAAATGATGTCTTGGTATTGTTTCCATTTGATAACCTAGTACTTTTAGATTCAAGAGAATTAAAGAGGTTGGATCTGTATACTTTGTCTTCGGGAGAGTGTGGGCATTTTAAAATATTTTTTGTTTCTTATAAAAAGGCATTGTAGCTAGGCTCAGTGGCTCAGCCTGTAATCCCAGCACTTTGGGAGGCCAAGGCGAGAGGATTGCATGAGCCCGCAGCTTCAAGACCCGCCCGGGCAAGTTGGCGAGACCTCATCTCTACAATAAATCAAAAAAATGAGCCGGGCATGGTAGTTTGTGCCTGTAGTTACAGCTACTTAGAAGGCTGAGGCAGAAGGATCACCGGAGCCCAGCAGGTCGAGGCTGCGGTAGTCAGGAGCATGCCACTGAACTTCAATCTGGGCTACACAGTGAAACTCCAACTCGAAAAAAAAAAGAGGCATTATAGCTGGGCATGATGGCATGCTCCTCCTGTAGTTCCTGCTACTTGGAAGGCTGAGGTGGAAGGATAGCCTGAGCCCAGCAGGTTGAGGCTGTGGTGGCCGTGAGTGTGCCATTGCATTACAGCCTGTGTGACAGTGAGACTCCAACTCAAAAACAAAAAGATATTAAAGGTCTTATTAATTTTTGTAGATAACAGTAACAGAAAACAACTGATAACATATACCATGTAGAAATCTTAAAATATGCTTTGTTTAAACACTCATTAAGCAGGTATTCATATATATAATCTATTTTGTGGGTGGGTTGTAATCCAACCTCTTATGTCTTTTTATTTCCGGTACCTTAATGTTTAAGTTTGCTTGCAATCTTGGTAAGACTAAACTAGCAGACAGGCAGTATTTTTCTTAAAGGGAATTTGTTATAGGCAAACTTGATTTAATAAAAATAAAATATAAACATCTTTGTTTACACTAAAATTATCAGATGTAGGTTGATCAGTCATTATAACACCATATGAGTCTATTAAGTAGCCAATACAATAGCATGTATATCAATTTATATAGATAGGTAAGTAGATAGCTTGTGGGCAACTGAGGCATGTTTATATTACAAAAAAAATCATTGCTAGAAAGGTGAATACTACATGTTCATAATAAAAGTTACATTTTTCAAATATTGATAACAATGTTTATGTTTCTGTTTTAAGAAAAAGGTTCCCTTTTAATATCACAACTCTTTTGCTGACTAAGTCTGCTTTGATAGTAAAGAAAAGACACTTCACAATAGGTGACATTTTATTATTTATACAATAAAGAGACTTTTATGTTATTCAAAACACTTTTTTAAATACTGAAAAAGTTGAGTACATCAAAGCCGAAAAATGGCTCCGCTATACACTGCACAGCATTGTTTTAGTCCCTGTGTTTTGTGTCTGTACAGAAAGCATCTTCAAATGCAATCTAGTCACATTGTACACCTTTACCAATTAGTGTCAATACATAAAATAAAACTGGAGAATACAGCTGGCATATGCAAATTAACTGACAAAGTAAGTAATTTCACTGATTCAGTAAATTTAAAATGCAGATTCATAGGACTTCTTTGCGCATAAGATGAAGCAGCTTTCAAGGTCATTATGGTCTCATACTGAAAAAAAAAACCCATTAAGTATATTCACATCTATGTTAATAAAGTAGTAAATATGTTCTTCATTCAGTTTTATTTACATCAATATGTAGTTCAACTAAAAAGTATTGTTAATCATGATATAGTTGTGTTTTTAACACATACAAAAATGAAAATTTTATAGATAATTTAAGCTCAAAATCACAATTATCTCAAAATATTAATTACAATACAGCCATTTCAATTAAACATGTGATTTAACTTTTTTATAAAATGATAATTTTTTTTTATTAAAGTAAGCAGTTTGTTTTGAATTGGCTAGAGTAGAAAACTTTAAATGTGAAGCGGTGTTTCCTGCCCCCTCCCACCCAAATTTGTATACAGCCACCTAGGCTAGCAAAGAGACAGAAAAGGCCCCGAATTAGTAAGATTAAGCCTCTTTTGCTATACTTCTGTGGCTTGTTGGTTCTTCCATAAAAACTTCATAAGGGGAGTGTCCATACACTATGCGGTAAAATGCATGCCTTAATATACAATATGTCTATGTAAGATGTGTTTACTAATGCACATTAAAATGTTCACAAAGACTGCAAAAGAAGTCATAAAGAAGCACTTTATCAATCGAATACTGTAGACTTGAAAACTACTTGATAGCATAATGGCATTTCTTTGAAATCAGATCCTAATTCAAGTTATTTCTCTGGCTAAAGGAGCTCTGGTCATTTGGCCTCAAGATGTCACTGTTGTGCTGCACATATGGTAGTGAAGTCAGCCATCATTTAAAAAAAGGAGTCTAGAGGTTGTCTTCATTTGGCTAACATAATGACCCAAACTTCCGTCCCTGCTTAGGAATTTTTCTTAAATTTACAGAAGAGTGAAATATTTCACTAGCTGATTTACATGACCTCAAATGGAACATTTGTATGTATTTGGCATATGGAAAAATATATTACATGAAATTAGAACTTCTTTAAAGTATAATAAAATGATTATGCCCCAAAATAACTGAGGTCAAAAGTAATCAATTATAAAATACTTTAGGAAATAAAATATCATTTTTATGGATACTTTTTTAAAAGCGTAAAAACAGTACCTAATATCCTTTCACTTATAATTATTGACAAATCAATTGGAAATCTACCAGTGTCTTCCTTCAGAATTGCTTGTTAGTTTAACATTTTTTTCTGAATGGAAAGAGTCCATAGTTCTTATTATGGTTTATTTATATGCAGCCGGGTGAGGGGTACTCTTGAGTGGTTATAAAGTGGGAAAAATAAAACTCCAGTACGTACAATAACCTACGGTAACCTTACTTACTTTTAATCTTACTTTTTCAAGGTCTTTTGTGGTGGTCTTTAAAATTTACAAACAATTTTGTAGATTTACCTCTTTTTTTCCCCCACACTAAACTTGGAAATAAATTTCTCCTTCATATGAAGACAATGTTATCATCTTTAAGCCTTCTTTAGTTCCTTCCACACATTTAGTACAAAGAGAAACTTGACTGACTCTTCAAACAAAAATTATCTGGTTTATTCGTCTATCAAGTACCTTTCTCCTCCCTCCAGTTCAAATAAAACATAGGACAACTTGCATTTTCTTCAAGGACGAAAATGTAGCTGAGGATGTTAAAGGGATGTGCCTATACATCACAAAGAAGTATTAAACATTTATTGCACTCCATTGACGCTAGGTGTCATCAAACTAAGCAAATTCCCTTCAGTAAAACTTAACATACAACAGTCCTTACTGACACGAGCCGGAGCCTTTTCCACATTCAAGATCAAGAGTTCTCTGGGTAGAAAGACTCTATTGAAAATAAAGTTTATTTCAACAATACATCCTTAAAATAAATTATCTATCTAGCATGTAAGGGAGATACTTTAAGTTCTGTCTGCCTGGGGATTTTCCTATGGACTTTCTGAAAAATTACATAAGATTTTCTGACGAAATAAAACATATTCTTTTGTAGCGGTCTGGGGAAGGGTAAGAAGAATAAAGAGATACAAAGAAATACAATGTGATTTCTTTTGTCCATTTGTGAAATGCTTTCCTTAATCTAGCCTATCATTAAAGGTCAGTTGACCTGCATACCTGGGCATTATTTAACCTCATTATTTTAGCTGTGCAAAACAAATGTGCAAAGAAAAACACCACCTACGTATGTGTGTCTGTACATAGACACAAAACCTGAGTCACAATAGAAGTTTAATATACGAAAATTTTTCTTAATGTAGGAAAATAACCTTTAATGAGCCAAAAATACCTTTGTACAATATAAGCAGCTAACTTTATAACTTCAGTGTGCTTAAGTATCACATGTATTATAAGACCCAGCAAAAAAGGGATCATTTACAGTTGATAACTTTCTTAACTATAACTAAGATAACCACATTTTTATTTCTATTTATATTTATTTCATTCCCCTGAATTCATTTTTTTTTTTCTATTTAAAAAAAAAACCCCACACATTCAAATAAGTCCTGTTTAACTTATGACAAACAGTTCCTGGTTTTATTCTAAATATTGAGGACATGGGAGATATGGGGTTGCTAAGTATATAACTTAGTACCAAGATACGTGGAATTCGAACATTCAAAACAAGCAAAATATATATTACTACAAGAAATATCGCTTGCAACAATACTTTTGTAGATAGAGTTGGGCCAAAATCTGCATGAAGCTATTCTCTTTTTCAGGCTCGCATTCTACAGACTGGTAACTTTAAAAATAAAATAAAAACCTTTATTTACACTCCATTTCCTTTGCTTTTGGTAAGTTTCTTACCTTTTTCAGACCTGAGCCCTGAATTGTCCCAACTGAAGCATTCTTGCTCATATGCAGCCATATGTACTCTCATCTACATTTTTGTTATCTCTTCCTCTTCTTTGGGAGCTCAGAACTCTGGGATTGACTTCTTGGCCTCTGCTTCTGTGCCACTTACTCATTAGGAAGAAATCCGATTAAATATTCTACTGTCTGTCATTAGACACTAACTTAAGGCTCAAGACATACTCCCTGGGCTACATCTCAGATGCTTACTGAGGAAATTTTATGCAAAAATGAGTGAAAGTTGCTTCTCCATGCTGCTCCCGGCAGTCTTTGTCATTAATTATGCATTTATTTCAGTTAAGTCACTGACACTTCCAGAGAAGGGGAAGCCATCTGAAACAAAGGATTCAGTCATTGCATCTGCGCTTGGATTAGAGGGCCTTTGGATACCTGTATCAATAGGTGAGGGGATTCTGGCCTTAAGTCAGCTGTTTTTCTCTTGGGCCATTGACAGTTCGGGGATAGGCTGGGAAATGTACACAGGAGGGTAAGGGACTACAAGGCATTGGCCAAGGGAACTATGGTCTCCCTGCCTTTCTTCATGACACTTGCCTGAGGGTCACAAGAAGGATTTTGTATTGTGCAAAAGGTTAAAAGCAGAGTCATACTTTTTCTGCCAACAGACTTGTTGCCATGGGAACCAATGCAAAAAAATTAAAATATGACAAGAAGCCAAGA